AACAAATATGGCGAAATCTGTGTGTCTAATCAAATCTGTAACGCATACCTCAGCAGAAATTGTGTAACTTATTTCCTTCCCGCGAATACCTGAAATAAGGATAGTTAATTAAGATGCATGAAACACCGGCAGAAGAAAGCTAAGGTTGAACAAACATATATGAATAATGCAATCAACAGTTCATACACAGACACAAAAGATTGTACTCGCAGTTCAGATGTTAGTGCAGCAAATTCATCTCCCTGTGTCTAAATGACATTGCACAGTATATGAATCCAATAAAAAATAAGAGGAGGATGCTCACTACTGTTACTTTCACCACCTAATCAATGGAGACACTAGAGTGTGTCTATATCAAGAAACAATTGAAAGGATCAAATGGCATTTATTAACAGAAGTAATGTCAGATTTCAATAGCAAATTGGTAGACAAATTTTCAAATAACACACAAATATGCGGAAAAACAGTAATACTTCAACAACAAAAAATTGACACTGCCCTGAATTGACCAACAACAACAACCAAGCCTTTATCCAACTAAGTGGGGTCGGCTGCATGGATCGAATGACAAAACATTGATATCCAATTCTTTCTTAATCATTCCCCAATATTTTTCCCTCGGTCTTCCTCTTCCTTTAGGAATTGGACTAACTTCAGTTTGATCTACTCTCTGTATGAGACTTCTACAAGTCTCCTAAACACATGTCGGAACTACCTAAGGTGTGATTCTACCATCACTGATAAATAAATAACAACTAAACCTTCACAACATACTCACAGGCTTTGGTTTCCAAATAAAAAAGGTTAGTAGCATCCTTACCTGAGTTCACTTTTGGGGTATAAAAAGTTACAGAATTTACACTCAAAACATGCATACAAGTAATTTCACATGTTAATAATATATAACAAACCAAACATGCACATCAATAATGTGAAAAAGTGAGAAAAAAGGCTCATTCACCTTTTAAGCTTCGCTTAGTTTTGCACAAAGGGCATTCTGCTTGCGCGGTTGAAGGGACTGTGAGCATTGTCCCACACAAATTACAAAACAAAAAATCACGGCCCCGAGAATATTGAGACATTATCTAACAATTCGAGAATAACACGATGAATTTTAGTCGTGAAATTCGAAAACCTTGAAACAGTTTAAAGTGTGATGTAACTTTGAGTGTAATTCTGCAAACCCTAATTCGAGAAAAAGGGAGATGGGGAAATGTTTCTCACTCTAAACGCGGCGTTTCACATTCCCGCGTTTTGTTTTTCTTTGGGCCCAGGTCTCATTTTTGTCTATTGGGCTGTGTTATAATCTTAGTGTGCCTTTGGTCGGAAAGAGTAAGGAAGGAAAGAGAAAAGAGCGAGTTTTTTTGCAATGACTATAATGCCCTTAGTTTTATTAAATGTTTATTATTATTTATAAGTGTAAAATTGTATTTTTAATAAAAAACATGTTTTCTCTTCTAATTCTTTCATATTAAACAACTCTTACAATCAACTCATTTTCTCATTTATTTCTTTCTACTCATACTCTTTCTTTTTATATTCTCTCATCCTATTTTATTCTCTAAACCAAACAAAGCATTAATAAAATTAATATCAATTTACCTTAGGGTTCGTTTGCAATATAGATTTTGGAGGGAGGAAAAGAAAAATTGAACATTTCAATGCCATGAGAGTGAAATGATTTTGGAGCTCTTCATTTTGTTTCTTCTCCTTTTGTATTTAAAATTCGTCTAAAAATGCAACTCCCAAACAAACTTAGAGATATTAGGTTCATTTTTACTTTGTTATTTCTTACTTGCTAAATTAGTCTCTACACTTTTAAATAAACTTGTTATAAGATTGGTAGAAAATAAAATAAAATTCAACATAAGTTTATTCAATTAGTTCATTGTTTTTAGAGTCACTTTAATGAATAGAGTTGCATTTAAGTTTAAATTCTCCATGTAACACTAATATATTTTGAATTTAAAATCGAGATTTCTAAGTGAATGATCTACAATTCTAGATAAATTCTAAAAATCAGTATTATTAATATTGTATTAGTCATCAAATTAGTAATGGTAAGAGTATGATGGTACTAATTTCAATAGATGATTCGCTAATTAATCTACATACGATAAAAATTAGATATACATATATATTATAGAGTAAATTACACTCACACCCCCTAAGTTTTAGTTAAATTACACAAACCACCCCTCGTTTTTTTGTCCTTACACAAACCACCCCTACCTCCTACACGAATCACCCCTAGTTTTGTATATATATTACACTAACTACCCCTGCATATTATAAAAGTGTAATATTTTAAACAAACAAATGTGTGGTGAGTGTAATTAATTTAAAAAAATATTATATATTGTGTAACATTTCAAATAGTACAAAAATCAATGTTTCTTTATCATTTTTGTCTCATTAAAAATATATTACTAATTCTAAAGATATGTTTAAATAACTCTTATAATATTTTGTAACGAGTCAAATAATGAAGACGCATCGACTTTCATATTATTTGAATTTGTCTACACAATAGACAATATTTTATTTAACTTAATTACACATGCCACACGTTTTTTGTTTAAAATATTACACTTTTATATTACGCAAAGGTAGTCAGTGTAACATATGTACAAAATTAGGGGTGGTTCGTATAAAGACAAAAAATGGAGGGGTGGTTTGTGTAATTTCACTAAAACTCAGGGGGTGTGAGTGTAATTTACTCTATATTATATTAACACTAATATTTAAAAAATTAATAAATAATGTGATAAATGGAGGGGTGGTTTGTGTATTACTTGACGATAGAAGATGTTTTAGAAGTATAAAAAATATAGTGAATGTGTGTTTGATCATTTGTAACAACATTTTGCTAAAAATTATGTTACTTTCATAAAAAAAATATAATTTTAAATGAAAATCAGATGGTATAATAAATATGGTTTAGTTGAAAATCGGTCAATATCGACCAATATAATTGTATGACCGATATAATTGATATAATGTATCAATATAATTGATGTACCGTATTGATATAGGGATTGATTCATTGGTTGAACTAGTCGGTACGGTACGGTTTTCATAACACCATTAAAAACTTGACTTACGGTATTTTGGAATTTTTCAAGTTTTTTATTTTTTTAATCTAAAATATTAGTTGATGTATTATTATTATTAATTAATTCCAATGCAAACAATTAGAATGTACATTAGGTTGTTTTTTTAGCCAAGTAGCAAGGTCATCAACTTGGTAATATAGATTTAAAGCTAGTAAATCATTATTCAAATTACTGAATATCCCTAAGAAGGGTTTGTAAAAGATAGATTTTGATCACTTTCACCATTGACCTCATAAATTTGTTTTGTATTTCCTTTTAGTGTGAACAATAAAAAATCCAAGTTTCCATGCAAATATATTTATCCTTCTTTGCTCACAATGTAGCCAACAATAATTGATTCTCAAAAAGAAAATCACTTATCATGGATATTGATATCACCATTATAAGTTCTGCAAAGATTAAATATGTATGTACTATATATACATATTCACGTGTATTTAATAAAATAGCTTAAATTTTTTTATGTCACCCTTTTGAATCAACATTCTTTGTCTACTCAGAACTTGAATGAGATCAAAAGAAGTAATATTTAATATACACGGTAAATCCAAAAAAACATTTTGTTAAAGTAACTAACTATAATCATGATGTAGCACACAGTGATAGCGCAGTAAATAGTTACATGTTTCTTTGTCTGGTGTGTGTATATTTTCAACAAAACATATCTCTCTGATAAAATTAATCCAAAGTTATGCTTTTTGTCCTTTCCTGATTATTAACACAGCTTTTAGCATTTGATTCTCTGAACCAATGTTCTTATGTGGGTAACACTGTGTACTAGCATGGTTGGCCTAATCTCAAAGGGTAGAATCATCACACATAAAAAGCTTGAAAAGAATAAACATAAGATGAGGTTGAATAATAAAGATTACATCAAAAAATAACCTCACTCAATTAATCACTCATTTCATGTTATTTTTCCTTAGGAAAGACAACGGGCGGGTCGGGGTCAGGTTTGTGCTTACCCAACTCCGAATCTAAAATCCAAAACCCGAACCGGGTTTGAAAATAATGATATCATCTCAAACCCGTCAGATTTCGGGTAACCCGAACCCGAAAAAACATATATTTATATATATATATATATATATAGCTTGTATAAATAGGGTTCGGTTTTCATTGTCATCCCTATTTTTTCTTGTTCTGTCCTTGATTCGATTCCTTTATATTATAGAGTGTATATATTCACTACCATGTGCTTTTGATTTAGTTTGCCTTATCATGGTTTATAATTTCTCCTTAGAGATACATTGATCATATTTTGTTGCTTCTAGTAATTTGGTTTGTGACTTTTTAAGATGCTTTCTCTTCAATGAGAATATAATGTTAAAGATATGTGTATTGTGCAGTCCTTTTTAAATATTATTCTGCATAATTATGAACCATACAGAGTGTTCCAAGTTACACAATATACTTTTTGTTGGAATTTGATGCTATCATTGATTGAAAATGTTATTTGAATAATTAACCAAGAACAAAACATAAATATTCTTCTCTCTTTATCATTGTTTTTTCCCTTTTGCAACTTGCCATTTTGTATTATGATGAATTTTATTCTACACCATTCAGGAGCTGGATGTTTTTATGACTTGAAATAAAAGGATTATTGGCATGTTTAACTTGAAATAATATATTAACTAACTATAATTGATTTAGAAATATGTGTCAAATAGAAATGAAAACTTAATGGACTGTATAACAATTCACCATTCCACATGTAGAGAAGGAACATAATTTGAACTATAAATACTTGGTATTTAGGAACTAGTGACTAAAATTTACTAATAATTACACTCCATCTTTATGTTCTTATTCATATAAATTGATCCCAATTTTTATGTTGCCCCCTTTCATTTATTGAAAAAAAAAAAAGATAAAAAAATTCGGTTTTCTATACATAATATGACTTCTCTATGGTTATGTACACATAACTTCGATATATTATATTATGGGTTGCCCGGGACTCGAACCCGGAACTAGTCGGATGGAGTAGAAAATTTATTTGTTAATCAGATTCAACAGTAAAACAAGAAAAAATCCCTCCCCAAGCCGTACTTGCATTTTTCATTGCACACGGCTTTGCCTATGTATACATCTAAACCCGAGTTACTTCCCCAGAAGAGGACCAGAACTCTACGAAAGTTAAATATTAAGTTGATGAATCCTGAATCCCCACTCTTACTACATGAGCATTTCATAATCCTATGGTATAGGTATAGAATACTATAATGAATGCATTTTTTTATTATATTATATTCTCGTTTAAGGAGAGTTTAGATTTACCCATTTACAAAGTATCATAACTAATCATTCATGATTGACCAGATCGTTGCTGAAAATAATATCCAAATACCAAACCCTACCTCTATATAACCCCTGCAAAGTAAAAGTAGAAGAAGCCCTTTGAAAGACCAAAGAAAGAATCTCTTCTTCCTCTGTAAAGAATTCTTCCAATAATTTTTCTGAATTTAGAAGGGGAGGGATCCACTTACTTTTGAAAAAACCTACTTCACATCTTAGTCATCCATTTTTGGAAAATTCAATAGTTTAGATGTAATCACCAATTCAAACCATTAGATTTTCCAAGAATGAATGACTATGATGTGAAATAGTTTTTTTCCACTTAATCTTTGAGTAAGTCGATCCCTTATTATTAAGTAGGTACATGGCAGACAATAATGCATCAGCATTGTGCACTATAGATCATGGGTCACTACCTTCATTGGACAAGTGAATTTGCATTAGCCAACTTGATTGATAAACACAACATTAATGTCATTACATCCTTTTACTACTTTAACCAAACATGACCACTCATTAAATCAAAAACAAGAATTGGAAAGTCATGTTTACTTAAAAAAGACTACATAACCATAGTATAGCCACACATAATAAGATATGGTTGAAGCAGTATAGACCTCAAATTCATATGCAAACAAACTAACAGGCCTATTCATTTTGTGATCAGGACAAACAACATAAAAATACCCATTACTCATTTAAAATATAATTTGCTAGATTCTTTGTGATCATTTACCTTAAGTCCCTTTACTTGTTTACAAAAGTATATCACATATTAAACCTTTCATGTGACATTGATAAAGAAAAGGAGTGATCAATGATTATACAAATAACATAAAGTTTCCAGAGACCATGGCAACAGAATTTACTTACATAGAGCATATTACAAATTTACATATCTACAAACACCAAAATGAAACTAATAATAAGTATATTACAAAGGATAAGAGCTTAGTAACTCAACTAATCAAAAAGTAATGTCAACCTAAAATTTGAGACTATATACAGAATTTTTTTTAACACTGATATTTATCAGCACTGCAGGAGTTGCAAGAGTTTCTGACAATCAGCAAAACTTCCAAGCCACAAATGACTTAACAGAAGAAAATCTGATTGGCAGATAATAAAATCAACCTATTCATGAAGTAGATATAAAAGTCACCTATTCATGAAGCTCAGCACCAAATTCACAAGTTCCAGCTTATGAGAGCCTACCATGAGATGGAGTGGAAGATAGGCAGAAAAAGATATTCAATTAGTTTAGCTCGGCCAGTAATGATCTTTAACACTGCCTTCGGATTTTGATCGAAGAATTTCACCCCTTCATTTTATGAAAACATGAAGGTCTACTATGGTCCCACAATATATCAAAAATAATATCTCATAGGCCGTCGACCAAGTTAATAACACATGGCTTTGCATCTCCTTCAGGGGTCAGCCGATTCTTGTTATAGCAAAAGGCAATTTAGACTGAGTAATGAGATAAGCTAAACCCTGGCCACTACCACATTTCTATTAGGATTACATTAGAACCACGGTAATGCTGCCACTTGTCATGAACCAATAGGAAAAACTAATACCCGAAATCTGAAGGGAGACCACCCAAAAGGCAAAGTTCCTCACTTGTCACAATTGTAGTTCCTGCTTGAGGTTTGACCTCAATTACTGGTGCTGCCAAAGTCGACATCACTGTTGAACCTCAAAGAACATTAGCAGCAAGTGGTTTTCCAAGGACAACAACATGCCCAAGAACAGCAATGAGTTTTGGTTTGATTCTCCAACAAAGCAAAGCCACATTTTTCAAACAGGTACAGGTAACCCATGATTGTGGAATGATTTTATTCGCCCATCCCATCCTGCAGTCACAATCACCATGCCCCACGCATGAGATTGGGAGGTAGTCTTACAAGAAGATTTCAAGAACTTGTATTCAGATTTATGCATTGCAGATGTTTTAGCCTTGGAGCTTGCAACAGGAAGTTTATCTTCAGGCCAAGTGGCAGATCCCTTAGGAAAAGACTCCAAGGAAAACTCTTGGTCGAGAGAGAAAGACGCGGGTGAATTGAGTCGTATACCTAGAGGCGATCTTCTATCCAAGAAATCCAATTGAAGTCCATTTTCAGTATTTTGAGATTTTAAACCATGCCAAGGTATTGCGATAGATGCATTTGAGAAAAACCGCTCACAAGATGTAATCTTCTTAACTTTTGTAGGACTAGACTCATTCTGACTAACGTTCCATAGATATACATTAGAGTCCTCACAGGCCGATAATATATGTTTCCCATCAGAAGTAAAAGATGCAGACATTGCACTCCCACCAGTTAGGCCTAAAAGCAAAAAATGAAGAACCTTAGGAACAAAACATATAATGAAATAAAATACAAATGAAGTTACTGAACCAACAATAAGAATAATAGCCAAGCCTCATCGAGCTTCAAGCTATGACAACAAAAATGTCAGAACAAAATGAAAAAAAAGAACCTATCAACCGTAAAAGAATGTAAAATAGTACGGAATGGTTGGGAACTGAGGAAAATTCATCATAAACATAGGAATTAGGCGAACGTACTTTTGTATTTGTCAATCACATTATGCCCACAAAGGATTCTGACTTGTGAATGAGCACAAGTAACCATAACTTTGTTAGAATCTTGTGAAAGAAACTGAAATAAATAACATATAATCAGTTGATCACAGAAAAGATAGCTTATATAAACATTGACATCTACACAGGAAGAAGAGCACACAAGAAGCAAAAGAGGGGGGAATACCTGAAAGCTAGTTATCCCTCTGCCAGGAACTTTCTTTTTACCAAGCAAGCATGGTTGGGAATCTAACTGCAAGTGATTCTCTGGTTCAAGCAAAAAATTGAAAACAAGCAGCATTAAGGACCAAGCTCATGTCTCAAAGTGGTTGTAATAGATCTTATGACAGTCAGACATAATAATTATAACTTGAATACTTGATGAACATTTTGAGGATACAGAATCTTTAAAGTCCATACAAAATAACAATTTCAAAACCAAAACACATGCAATTATAATCAGATCTACCAAAAGACACCTAAATGGTTTAAGCAGAGGAAAATGATGAGATATATGTCAGATGATACCTGATGCATTAAAATATCGACAATTGCCTGCCATGGAGCCAATAATCCCTGCCTGTAAATAGTGGGCCATTCATCATTCATATGAAATCCCTTGCCATATTATCTTTATTTCTATAGAATGAAATTGGTAAAAAAAATGTTACCTGTCCGTCAGGCCGATAACATACTGCAGTCACTATCTCTCTAGTATCAATCCAATCAACAACATGACAATCAGGAATTTCCCAGATGCGCACTTTTCCATCTATACATCCACTAATGAAATAATTGTCATCCACGGGATTGAATTGTATGCATGTCACTGTAAAAAAATTCAAATGATAGACTAATTGTGAAAAAAATGAAATGATAAAAACAAATTTAGACAATGGCTCGACAAATCTGAAAATAAGAACAGAAAAACAGCTAGGCGCACCATAATTACTGTGTGAGAAAATTTTCAGGCAATTTTCATGTTTCACGTGCCATAGACGGACAGTTTTATCCTCTGAAGATGACAGAAGATACTGCACCCAAAAAGAAAATGAAAACGAAGTCAATTACACCAAAATTTAGTCTATACCTAAGTGTATGGTTAGTTCAATAAATAACTAAAATTATGGCATCCACTCACATTATTATTTGACCAAGAGAGATCCAAAACTTCACCTCTATGACCATGGAACTCATGCAATGGTTTCTCCAACAACCGAAAGATCTTAGGCGGGAAAATAATGCAAGCTGAATCTGATGTTTTTTTCAGGCCCTTCACCTTGGTAAGTTTTTCCTTGTCCATAAACAGCGGCCTCAATTCAGAGAGATTATTCACTGTGAAGTAAATGCAGGATGGATCAATTTCAGGAATGTCAATTTCATTGCACCTATCGTCCACAACCACTTGCCACACGCGCACAACACCATCTTCGCCAGCACTGGCAAGATACTGCCCATCGGGGCTGAATTTCATGGTCAAAATCGAACCTTCGTGTGCTTGGATGTCTTGCCTCATGTAAAGAGCTGAAAGTTCCTTCATTTGCTTCTTGCATTGACGAACCTTAACTTTCTGAAGCCTACACCCTGAGATTACACAACTATCTCCTTCTCCCCCATTTTCACTGTCAATTTGCTTATCCCTTATACATGTTATCGACTGCAATCTTCTTAACCAACCCCTTCCGGACCTGTTGGACTTCTTCGATAAAGCATCCGCATCGATCTCTTCAAACTCCCTACTCGCGAGCTGTTGGAAGTTTTTCTCAGAATCCTCAGGTTCCTCAACAACCACCGACCTATCGAAATCGATATCTCTACCACCATCACTCATCTTCCTATCCTGCCCCTCCCGATCCACGTGACAAGGCAAATTCTCCACCAAACCAAACTCCTCCGAAGAATTCATAGTAGACCAACAAGACATCGATGACCGGCTCGAACAGAACTCCTCCTCAAAACCAGAATTTCTATCCACAACCCCATCAATATCATTCACACTATTATTCACCTTTTCCCCTTCAACACCACCACCCAAGTCCACTGAATTTTTAACTCCATTCCCAGTCACACTCAACCCCATTCTCTGCATAAACCTACTCCTTCGCTCTCTCACACTCTTCGGTCTCCTAATCCACACATCATAATCAAAACCTTTGGACATTCCTTCTCTAGCACTAGAATCACTGTCTTTGCC